TGTTAAATATAAAATACTAATAGTGGCCATTCGGTTACTTTTATTATTGCAAATTGTTAGTAATATTATGTAGAAAAATACTGTATTATCAGAATTATCAATATCTATTTGATAAAATAAGAGCATGCTACTTAGTATAATTTTTCAAATCAATTATTCAGTTCAAGAATTATTATAAAAATTATTTAATTTATATTATTATATGAGAATTATTAAAATATTTTTAACTTTTATTTTATACAGTACTTTTTGGGTATTTAAATAATGTTTAGTAATTATTTTATTAAAAATACTCAGGGTTATGTATCACATTTAAATAAGTCATAAAAATATGATCAAATTTATTAATTATATAATTTCAATTTAAGTATGATATATCTATAAGATTTATAAATTAATTAAAAATTATTAAAAATCATATTTAATTTAATTAAGGGTTTACAACTAAAAATCCGTGATACAAGTTGTATCTTTGAAAAACCCAATTGAACCTAATGTTAATACTTTCCAAACACAAAAAAATATCTGTTCTCAGGTTAAATTCTTCCGAAATTATTTTGATTTGAATTTAATACAAATGGTATCAGGATTATTTACTCAGATAATGGTACAGTTGATCCATTATCTAAAACTTCTTAAGCACGCGCTCACTCCTAGTCTAACAATACATTTAAAAAATCACGGATTTTTAGTTGTAACTCGTTATTGCATGTTTCTAACAAAATGTAAATAGATATTTAATTTCAAACTAATTTAGAAATTTGAATTAAATTAAAAAATTATTTTAAACTAAAAAAATATAATGTATTTATAAATCTATATAAACATTAAAAATTTAATGCAAAATTTAAAATAAAATTAACAAATAATAAATCATGTTAAAATTAGAGTACAGGGTATTACTAATCGCTAATTAAAGTAATAAAAATTAATTATTTATAAATATCATATAATTTACATGGATGAACTTCCTGGATGAATATATTTTAATCAAATGATAATAATTTAATTAAATGTATAATATGTAACAAGAGCAATTTTATATTAAAGGATAAATTTACAACTTTTATTGTAAACTATAATGACAATTATGAACAGTATGTTTAGTGTAAATACCAAACACATTTTTTCACTTATCCATTTGATCCAGATCATGGCAAATTAAATTAATCTCATCGTTTGAACCCAATTTCATTTGAATGAATATCTGATTATTTTCTATCCATGAGTTGTAATCGTTTTTAACCGCATATTCAGACAATGCTTTAATGTCCTTTCGGCAATCACCTAGATATAATTTACACAATAAATTAGTTTCTATATATTAAATTAGTTTTAATATCGATTTACGAAATTGGATAATAGTCCTACAATTATCATAAAGATATTTTATAGGAAATGTGTCCACATTATTTTTACAAATAATGGTAATTGCTCTCCAGAGATAGTACTATTTTAAATTTGGAGCCAGCACACTCAAAACTTTACTTAACATGGAACTACACTTAAAATTTTAATAAAGTCGAGCATACAGTACAATTATTATTAATTATTAGCTATGGACAGGCATAATTAGGTTAAGCTTTTGCTTGATTACTTCAAAGTAAATGACTGGATCCCATAAAACTAAAGTAACATAAAAATTAAACTGTTGAATTGTGTAAACATCTTTATAACTTATATATAACTTTGTTCTTGACAAGCAACTTGATATCATGATTTATTTGTAATTAAATAATTAATTGAGCTTCTAACATAATACAAGACATACGTGGTGAACAGTTATATAGATTGTGATTTTCAAAAAATAATTAATTTTAGCATAAAACATCTAATAAAAAAGCAAATCCTAAATTTGTTTAAAGTGATCTTTTTCTTTAGGTTTTGGTTACCGATTGCTTTGCCATTTCTTATCAAATACCATTAACATTTCTATGCTGTCCTCTAGACTCTCGATTGGCTCCCACGTCATTTGGTCATATCGTCATAGCCTTTCCATTTTATCTACCACTCCCATACATTACTATTAGTATTCGGGTCAAACATTTCTCGTTTGCCTTGAATCACTTCAATCTCATATAGTTTACTCCCATCAGAATCGTTGGCACCTGGACTTTGTTGTGCCATTAAACCCGTTGAATCTACAGTTGTAGGCCTAGATGAAATGAATTCTGTAATTTTATTATGAACGGGTTCGAAGAATTTTACGATTTATTTTACACCGGTATTTTAAATATTAACTTGAAAAAATTGTTTTTACCAACAATTCTTCACTTATTTGGATTTTAATTCACAGTTTTAAAAAGTAATCATTAATGAGGTTCAATGAAAATAATTTTCCATTCAACTAATTTATACTGTATATTTATAAACAGTAATTTGTCAACATAACAGTTAGATATCCTATTAGTTAATATTGACAATAAAGTTGTTAACTTTAGAAAAAAGTATAGTATTAATATAGGTTTTTAAAAAATAAGTTTTCTATAAAATTATCTCATTTAAACTTTAATGTATCCAATTGTATTGTCATAATAATTATGAAGTTGTTGTAATCAATCATACTTGTGTTTTAGCTTTATTTCAAACAAAATAAGTTATTAAGAAGTTACTGAGAATTAAATTATATTTGCCCCTGGTATTTTACTTTTATAATTGTAATTTATTCTACTAATTTGTTATAATTATAGTAAGAATAACAACAGGATTAATGTAGTTAAGGCATATACAGGTATTTAAGGTTTAGTTCCACTATACATATGGCCATCACATTGACAATACAAGTGTTTCAGATAATCATACGATAAATAATGATGTATTATATTTCACATTCATTTCCCAAGTTTATTAACAAACATTAACAAGTAGAAAAATGTTATCAATTAAAAATTATTGACAGTTTTTAATGATTTTTAAAATATTTGCGAAACTTTTAAATTGTTTACAAATCTTAATAAACACTAAATTACTTAATATTGAACACAAAAATAATATAAAATCATTGAACTGTACACTTGTTATAGTAATATATGTTTAATAAAATATTTACTTTTCAACTCACAATTTGCGACACAATTTGACCGATTATTGTCTTCGGTATTATTTGCGGACAAAAATTGCAATAATTTGTTTCGGACAGTAATTATCTCTATCCTTCATCAGCGCAATGACTGTCTAGTAATGACAGTACTGGTGGTCTGTTTAGGCATTTGGGTGGAGAGCGACCGTAGAAGTGATATTTGAGATCACTTTAACCGTACATTTAGTGCATTTATGGGGGGAAACTTGATATTTGTTTATACAATTGAAATTAAAATAATTTACAATATATTCTGTGTATTGACATATAGCTGCCATATATGTATTGTCATTACTTTACAGTCATTGCGCTGATGAAGGATAGAGATAATTACTGTCCGAAACAAATTATTACAATTTTTGTCCGCAAATAATACCGAAGACAATAATCGGTCAAATTGTGTCGCAAATTGTGAGTTGAAAAGTAAATATTTTATTAAATGTCTACTTGTGACAACATAAACCTCAATCTAATATATGTTTTATTATGAAATCTACACATAAATATAAATTATTAAAATAGTGCACACCCTTGCTACAATATTAATAATTATGTAATTAATTATACTATTTACACCGTTTTAAATTGTATAATTTGCCTTTGTGATTACCCATTATTTAAAGCGATTAGATAAATAGATAAACAAATCGTGTGTACAATTTAACATTTAATTTTGGTTTTTGAATAACCTTATACAATTATTAATTTAGTATATTTTTACAACTAAATTATTCAGTTCAAGAATTAATATAAAAATTATTTAATTTATATTAATATATGAAAATTATTAAAATATTTTTACATTTTATTTTGCATAGTATTTTTATTTATTTAAATACAGTTTATTAATAATTTTATTAAAAGTATTGGGGATTATCGCATTTAAATACGAATTAAAATTATGATAAAACTTATTAATTATTTAATTTCAATTTAAATATACTGTATCTAAGATTTATAAAGTAATTAAAAATCATATTTAATTGAATGATTGCATGTCTCAAACCAAATATAAATAGATATTTAATTTCAAACTAAATTAAATTTATATTAAATTAAAAATTTTATTTGAAAACAAAAAATAAATTTATAAATTTATATAAATAATAAAAATTGAATGCATAAAAATAAAATTAGCAAATAATAAATGATGATAAAATTGTCGTACAGGGAACTAATCGATAATTAAAGTAATAAAATATATAATTTGTAAATGCAATATTATTTTTTCTTAATGCTTCCTAGATAAATATAGTTTACTTAAATGACAATTAATATATTAAAAGTTTGTATCATGGGCAATTTTATATTAAAGGATAAGTTTATAACTTTTATTGTAAACTATAATGTTAATTATGAACAGTATGTTTGGTGTAAATACTAAACACATTTTACCACTCCAGTTGATCCAGATCATTGCCAATTAATTTAATCTCATTGTCTGAACACAATTTCATTTGAATGAATATCTCATTAGTTTCTATCCATGAGTTGTACTCGTTTTTAGCCACATATTCAGACAATGCTTCAAGGTACTTTGGCGAATGAACTAGGTAGAATTTACATATAAAATAAGTTTCAATATATTAAATCAGTTTTAAGTACAGATATAAAAAAAATTGGATAATAGTTCAACAACTCTTATAAAAAATCTTTTCCTAAATATATCCACATTTAAAAAATAATGTTAATTTCTCACCAGAGACAGTACTATTTTAATTTTGGAGCCAGTACACTCAAACCTTTGCTTAACAGTGAACTACAATCTAAAACTGTAATAAAGTATATCTGATGTTAGAAAGCAAATTGAGGCTTATATATAGGCTAAACAACTTTATACTTTACTCGAAAGCAATGACAAATATATAAATTTTTAGCCTATATATAAGCCTCAATTTGCTTTCTAACATCAGATATAAAGGACACATACTGTACAGTTCAGTAGTTAAAACACATTATTGAACTACAGTGAGAGCGGTTCTATATATTTGTGTTTGTGGGGTATAACATGAATTCTATGAATGAATATACTTTTATATTATGCTATATTGTATAGTATTAAAGTTGAGTTGAAAAGTACTATCCATTTATCATATATCCAACAAATACAGTGTATGTCATACACAATAAGTCTTACAGTATGATAAGTATGATACAAGATCCTTTGTGTATAACGAGTATATTTGTTGAGATATTTTATGTTTAACTTCATATATTCTCCATTTTTTCACATCAATTTGTTTCCTAATTGTTTTAAACATTGGTTCGTTTATTGCGTTGTCATTTGTATCTACAAACATACATATTGTAAATGTCAAAGTTTGAACTTATAAAAATATTAAATAATAAATATCTAACCAAAATAATTTGTTATATTTCCGTCAGTCATATGGATTATACAAATCGGTTTGCTTTTCATAAATAGATTGTAAAATATATCACATTTTCTGTCTATAATAGTATTCAATACTGAATGGAATTCTTTGTCTCCAATAATGGGTTTATTTGTCATAAATGTCTGCAATTGTGATNTTTGTCATAAATGTCTGCAATTGTGATAAAATGTGCGAACATTCGGGTCTTTGCCTCCAATCTGTTGAACCGTTTTTGCGATAAATATCGTTAGCACTCATTGACACCAATAATGCATTCATTTTATACATTAATCCATTAATATCTTTGTTATATTTTGTGATTGTTTTAATCCTATAATTGAAATATTATTATTGGTTATACATTATATATTATATTATTGATTATAAATTAAATTATTTTTAAATGAAAACATACTTTCCGTCGATTATATCGTTTCTATTGAAACCAAAAATTTGAGCACCAATTAGGGATAGACTGTAGATATCTATCAAATGGTTGTATTCAGTAGTCTGTGCTTCCGGTGCCATATAGGCAACAGTTCCCACATCTGCCGTATTTTTAGCTTTAGACATAAGAAACGGATCACAATTTGGGACCTCTTTAGCCAAACCAAAGTCACATAACTTTATCTCTCCGTACTTTGAAATCAACACATTATCCGGTTTGAGGTCTCTTCGTATGTATCGAAACCAAATAATTGAGCCCCGATTAGGGATAGACTGTAGATATCTGTCAAATGATTGTAATCTTCCGTCTCGGCTTCCGGTGCCATATAGTTGATAGTTCCCACATCTGCCGTATGTTTTGCTTTTGACATCCGATACCAATCAATACTATCGACCTCTTTAGCCAAACCAAAGTCACATAACTTTATCTTATAGTCCATTGAAATCAACACATTATCCGGTTTGAGGTCTCTATGAATGATATGCTTTTTGTGCAAATATTGCACACATTCTGTGAGTCTACGAAACATTTCATACGATATATAAAACTCAAAACTAGTCATCAATTCATTAGACAATGATTTCTTAGTTTCCAAAACATTGTTGAGATTATCGATACATAAATCCATTTGAAAGTAAAGAAAATTGCATTCAATCCATGAATAGTAGTATTTAATCACAAACTCTGACCGAAGTTTCATAAGACTTTGCGTTTCATTCAAAACATTTTCTTTTTCTTTTTCTGTCAATCCTTTAGATAAATTAAAATATAATAAAAATAATCCTAATTTTTCAAATTAAATAAAATATATTTACCATTTAAATGACATTTCTTTATTGCATAGAATTCATGGTTACATTTATCTCGAACTTTATATACCAGTCCATAGCCACCCTCACCAAGCTTATTTATTACGTCAAATGACTTTTCAAACGATATTGAATTATTTAACTTATCGTGAGTTTCTATAATAAAACATAATAATAATAATAAATTCAATGTACAGCAGATTAGGGCTACAATTAAGACATTATTGTAATATTCACCACAATTTGGTGTATTTTGTTGAATATTAGTTGAAATGGTATTTAAAGTGATTTTACTTCCATTTAAAAAGTAATCATCAAATGATGTATAATTGGTTTCAAACAGATCTTTGCCAACAATTTTATATATTTTATTACCAGATTTGCCCACAATTCTTGAGTAATGTTTCATTTCATTGAACACAAAATGTGATAATATTTCTAAACATTTATCATGAAAGTTATATCGATATAAGTGACCATGGTTGGATAACAAATATGTATATAACCAACTTATTGGAAGTGCAGTTTGTATGTTAATTTCAATTTCTAATAGGTATGGTGTTCTTATTTTATTCCTACAAGATCCCTCTCCCCATATAAGCACCTGTCCCTCACATGTAAGAGCAAGTGATGTATTCAAATTGCACTCTATTTTACTAATTTGATATTCAGTGGAAATTTCAACAGGAGTTGGATCTAATTGAATACTTTTATTGCCAGAACCAACCTGTCCATGGTTATTATACCCCCACCCGAATACCTGTCCATTGGATGTCAACACAATTGTGTGATAATCACCACAACTTATTTGTGAAATAATTAAATTGT